ATTCCGAGTGAAGATCAAGTTCCACTCGACGGATCAAACCATGAAGATATTCAACGAGAAATCAAGTTCGGATAAAGCCTAAAGGTCCCAGACCTCAGATCAAAGTACTCGAGCCATCGGCTCGGCAGAGTTTAACGGTTACAAATCCACTCGGCATTCCAAGGCAAATTTAAAGTGAAGCATAAAAGTTTTTCATTCCTTAGGTGGAGGACTGGAAGGGGCGATGAACTCGTCCAAGTCGATCCCGTCTGCAATACGAGTGGCAGCAGCGATGAAAGTCTCCATGAAGTCTTGAAAGTTGTGCTTCCTGGTATTGGCAACTTGGATGGCGGCCAGCTTTTCTTCTCGCGCCTCCTTGCAGTGGACGCGGACCAGAGACAGAGCGACATCAGCACCACATCTAGCAGAAGATTTCTTCCATTCCGCCACTCGACCCGGGACTTAATTCAGTCGAGCCATCAGAGACTCGAGGTCGTTCTGAAGCGTCGTCCCAGGCCAGAGTATGTGTCGATCCGCGACATCGCAACTTTCAGCCGAGCCAGATAGTCAACCACGCTGGCAATACGAGACTCCAGACGGAGCACGTTCATTGCAGCCTCATCCTTCACAAGAGAGTTAGTAGGGTCCAAGCCTGGCTCCACTCGACTGGTCTCCTCTTCAAAGTTCTGACAGAATTCTGCAAACACGATTCAAGAGTAAGACAGTGGCCCTACACAGGCTTGGTAACTGCAAGACAGTCCGGGGCGGAGTAATTACCTTCGAGCATGACGAACAGCTTCTTGGCGAGTCCACCGAGATAAGCCTCCAGATCGTTCCTCTTCCCCGCCAGCTCACCCGCCTTGTCGTGCAGAGCCACGTTGTCGTTCTTCAGTCGGCTGACCTCTTGATTGGCTACCTCGAGAGCAGCTTTCAGTCTGGAGTTCTCCTGCTCAAGAGTTCCGACCGAAGCCAGTTTCTCTTCAGCGAGCCTCATTTTGTTCAAGACCTCCTTCTGTGCTTCTGCAAGATCTTGATCCTTCTTCTTCAGAGCTTCTTCCAGTTTATCTGCGGCACGTTGAGTGAAGCCAACATCAAGAATGGACAAAAAAGAAAAGTCACTCGCCAAGAATGGAGAACCTCACCAGCCATACCTTTTGCTTCTTCTTGCGCCTTCTTCAAGTTCTCTTGAGCAAGCTTCAAGTTAAGGTTGAGCTGGATCTGCTGATTCTCCAACTCAGTATAGCGAGCTACAAGTTCGCAGGATTTCTGTAAAAAAAAATCAGTCGACAGACGTCCAAGATAAGTTGCTTCCGAGTAACTAAGAGACAATGATGACGTTTCTAAGACTACAGCCGAATCAAAAACATTCGACAGTAGTCTCGGGGACTACACCCAGTGGGTGCACTCGGCGTGCCCCCACTGTAAAAAAAAAGTCGACTGCCCGTAGTCGACCGGATACAGTTCCATTCGACATGGCCTGACCAAATCGAGTGTAGAAATACAGCTACAGCAACACAATATAAAGACTACAGTCGACTGCCAGCAGTCCACCGTAGTCTCGGGGACTACACCCAGTGGGTGCACTTAGCGTGCCCCCACTCGTCCAAGAATTGGCAGACACACCCAGTGGGTGTACAGATACAAAGATCTTCGGAAAAGAGATTCTTCAAACAGCATATCGTAACAGACCAAGTGTTGAGTCGACTGACCTGGACGTTACTCTGAAGAGCCGAACTCGCGTCATAAGCTGCTTGGTTGGCCTCCCGAGCCACTTTCACTTGTTCCCTCATGATCCCCGCCTGGCGTATGGCCTCTTTTGCGGCAGCCGCTTGGTCCTCAGGGACGGGGTACGTGACGAAGAGCGAAGGCGGATCTGCAATCGACGTCGAGGCCTGCACGCTCGTCAGAGGAACAGCGAAAGTCACAGAAGCCCGAGTGGTGTCACCACCATCCCAAGCTACGGCCTCAGACGTCGGAGCAGATTGGGGGGTCTTGTCAGCCGACGCCCTCCTGTTCCTTCTCACTCTCAGCGGTTCGTTGTCGTCGTCATCTGGGAGGTTGATAACATGAGGAGGAGCTACAAGAAAAAATTCAATCGACCAGAGTTGCAATAAATGTCCAGTCGACTCAAAGCAGAACATCAGTAATCGTACCAGGGTTGGAGGTAACAGCATCCTCCATCTCTTGGTCGTCGTCCTTGGTAGAGATCTCAGAAGTAGCAGCGCTGCAAATCTCGAAAGTCAGTCAGTTGGCTCAATGAAACGATCAAGGATCTGTCAACGGTCGACAAAGGAAAACAAGTTTTATTATTACCCAGAAATGATAGGGACAGCCATCTTCATCTTGGGCAGAGCCTTGGGCAGCTTGGACGGCGTCGCGCGTGGGTGCTTGGGAGCCTTTCCAGTCCGCGTAGGAGAAGAGGTCCGAGGGCGTTTCGACAACTGCCCAACAGGAGCAGTCGCCTTACCACGTTCCCGCGCTGGATCGTGTGTGAGCTTGGATCGCCTCTCCAGGCGAGGGGGTTCAACGTCCTCCTCCTCCTCTTCGCTGGAGTCGACGTCGTCTCCCCCTCTCCTTCACCGTCGGACTCCCACTCGCCTTGATCGTCTCCACTCTCACCTCCGCTCGCCTCCCCTTCCTCAGTTGGCTCCTGTGCCCCGTTGGGCGTCGAGTACATCTCAGTAGTCGCCTGGAAAACAACAGACAAGACAAAAGTTAATCGACCAACTCAAAGAAGACCAATGAAGAAAACAAGATCTCAGTCGGGAGCATAAAGACATACCTGGTCCACGTCATACGAGTTGTCGAGTGGAATTACCCTCCTGGCTCCTCGGAGGTTGTCTTTGTTTCCCGTGATGCTCGACAGCCACCCCTCCAGCATCTCATCGGTGACCTCCTTCGGGTGGATCCGAGTGGTGTCGTCGAGACCCGAGTACAGCCACATCGGGTGGTCACGAGCCTGGAGCGGTTGGATGCGCCTCCGAAGGAAGACCTCCAGCAAGTCCATACCAGTCACGCCATCGCGGACAAGCTGAACCACTCGACCAGCCAGCACTTTGACTTGTGCCTTTTCTTCCGGCGTCACTTTCAGAGAAGCAGGTTTTTCAGCTCGGTCGAGAGAGAAAGAGGGAAGACCAGTCGACTGTCCTAGGGTCGCCTGGTCTTGACAGTAAAACCAGGTCGCCTGCCAACCACGGACCGACTCTGGGAAAGTGATAGATGGAAAACAACTTTTTCCCCTCGTCTGGATCGCCAGGCCCCCGCACAGCTGGATCACCTGCGTCCTTTCGTCACTCGACTTGGCCTTCTTGACCGATTGGGAACGGCAGGTAAAGATGTGCTTAAAGAGTCCCCAATGGGGGCGGCAACCCAAGAAACCCTCACACAAGGAAATGAAAGCAGCAAGATATACGATGGAGTTGGGAGTGAAGTGGTGGAGCTGCGCTCCGAAGAAGTTCAGAAAGCTCCGGAAAAAAGGATGGGGAGGCAGAGAAAACCCGCGGTCGATATGGGTGGCTAGGAGCACACACTCACCGTCACGGGGTTGGGGTTCGATCTCTCTCCCCGGGAGACGCGCAGCTTCGTGGGGAATGACTCCCCCCTCGACCATGTCGTCAAGATCTTCTTACCGGATCACCGACGGCATCCAGTCGCCCTGGATCCAGCCTCTGGGCAGACCAGACCTTGAGGAAGATCCGCCCCGAGCAGACCTCTTCCCTTTCCCCTGCGCCGCCGCCTTCTTCGCGCGCTCCAGAGCGGACGTCTTGTCCTTCGCCATCGTCGTCGGCAAATCTCGAACGGGCCTGCGGCACTAGGGTGAGAGCGGAGGTGGCGGAGGAACTTGCGAAGAGAGAGAGGAAGAAGAGGGCGCACTGTTTGGAAACCCCGAGCCGGCGGCTTATAAGAGGCCGCTTCCGAGTGGCTGACTGGTAGGCCCAGGCTATCCAGTCAAATCCCGCAGCAGACGCGCGCGCAGTACATGGCGAAAAAGGTGGCGCGGAAATCGAGGAGCTTTCGCTTTATCGCATCCGATTACTGCGGCCGCTCCCATCCCGCGCGCTTCCCGAAATTCGAATCCCGCGAAACCCGCGGGCTGCAGAACAACTCGTCAAAACAGAAGATCCCACTCGCGCCGGCACTCGGTATATTACAAGTAAAGAAATTCACTCGGCGAAAGGACTGGAATGGATCAAGGCGACTGAAAGAGGTTGATGACGTCATCCGTGACGATTGATCCAAAACGAGGCACTCATGTAGCCCAAAGAACCAGTCGAAAAGATCCCGAACTCTTTCCCCACTCTAACCTCGATCCATTCGGGGGATAATGATGAAGCTATGTACCTAGGGTAGGGGCACGGACCTGTCCAAAGAGCCCTACCCAAGGACATCCCTAGAAGAAGTCACCTTTCAATCGACTTGAAGGTATCTCACTCGACGGGTTCAAGACACTCGACCAAGAAGCTATCATTCGACCATGAAGCCAACCACTTGACTGCCAGGAGATCTAAAGTCATTCCTCAGGCAAACGGTCGGTCTTTAAGTAGTCTTCATGGTCATTATAACACTTTATTAGGAGCGTTACCAGTAACGTCCAACCTTAAATGTACCTTAAACCCTGCATTACTGAGGGCAGGAGAGGGCCGGCGAACTCTATATAAGCCACCCCCCTCCTCGGTATGAAGGGTTCGCACCTCTGTTATTCACACGCATATAATCTAATCGACCGCCTTCCGGCACCGAGACGTAGGGCTGTTACTTCCTCCGCGAAGGCCTGAACTCGCACCCTGCGTGTTTACAACCTCTCCATAGCTGAGATCTAGCCTCTTCATACACACCCCCCTATATCACTGTCAGAGTTAGAACCACGACAATTTATATTTAGGAACAGAGGAAAATGGATTGAATGATTGCAGGCAATTCCTGCGTGATTGCAAGCTTCCAAGTCGTCGTTGGTCGTCGGAACGGCTCGAGTATTAAACAACTCGTACCCAGAGCAGCAAGGCAAGCCCTCGATCCACTCCATGCCGTCCCACAGATCAGCAGCTGCTTCTCTACTGGCAGCAGTATGGCTCTGCCTCGGCGTAGCGCTGCTTGGGGTTGGAGCAGCTCCGCCTAGGCCTAGCAGCAGTTGCCAGAGAGACTGCGGCGGCGTGGACATCCCTTACCCGTTCGGCATCGTCGACTCGCCCGGCGACAGCAGCAGCGACTGCGCCATGCCCGGGTTCGGCCTGACCTGCCACGAGACCGATGTGAATGGCGGGCGCCGCACGCCGTTTTATTACGAGGTGGAGGTCGTCGACGTCTCGCTGCAGCAAGGCCAGGCCAGGATGCAGAATCATATCTCCTCCTACTGCTACAACGCCACCACTCAGGGCATGGACGCCAGCGAGTGGCGCCTCACCGGCACGCCCTACAGGTTCGCCGACACCAACAAGTTCACCGTCATCGGCTGCCAAACGCTGGCCTACATCGAGGGCGCGCACACCCACGAGTACACAAGCGGCTGCGTGGCCATGTGCCGAGCAGAAAGCGACGGCGATGCGAGGTCGGCCCTCAGCAACGACTCCTGCTCCGGGATTGGGTGCTGCCAGACCGCCATCCCCAGGGGCCTGCAGTACGAAGTGGAGTTCGACTCCGGCTTCAACACCACCAAGATCCACAACGTCAGCCGCTGCAGCTACGCCGTGCTCATGGACGCCTCAAACTTCACCTTCCAAACAACCTACGCGACCTCACCGAGGTTCAACACCACCTACGGCGGAGTCGGAGTGGCGCCGCTGGTGGTGGACTGGGTTGTCGGAAACCAGACGTGCGACGCGGCGCGCAAGAATTCCTCGTCCTACGCCTGCGTCAGTGACCACAGCGAGTGCTTGGACTCGCTCAATGGACCAGCCTACATCTGCAACTGCTCCAAGGGCTTCCAAGGCAATCCTTACCTGCAAGATCCGGAGCAAGGATGCAAAGGTTTGTAGTACCAACACAAAACAATACTATAATATACAGGATTATTGTTTCTCAATCAATTCATAAAGAGAAAATTATGTTTTTGGTCCCTCAAATTCCCCAAACGTATAGACTTGGTCCCTCAAGATTTTTTGGTATATATTTGGTCCTTCAAGTCTCAAAACCGGATAAGTTTGATTCAAAACCAGATTTTTTTAGCATGTTGACCGGGGTTTGACTCGGTTTGAACAGTAAATTCAAAGAAATAGCAAATAAGTTCAAAAAGTATATGTGAACTTTTGTGACAACCAACATACTTCGGTATGCTTGGTGCGTGTAAATTTTTGTGTTCAAATAACATCCGAGGAGCTTTAGCCAAAAAAAAAACAATTTTTGGCTTTTTTTGGTGAGCCAATTTTTTTTTCACGAGCTCCTCGGATGTCAAAACACCACAAAAAATTTCACGCACCCAAGCATCTTGGTTGCCACAAAATTTTAGAGTTTTTTTTAATTTCTTTGCTATCTTTTGAATTTACTGTTCATAAGTCAAACCTGGTCAACATGCTTAAAATCTGGTTTTGGAACAAACTTATCCGGTTTTGAGACTTCAAAGACCAAATGTATACCAAAAAAATTTGAGGCACCAAATCTATACTTTTGGAGAACTTGAGGGACCAAAAACATACTTTTCTCATTCATAAACCATCAAAAATCTATGCAATGATTCAAGTAGATTTTTGTTATGAGCATACTTTTTCTTTTTTTGCTGGGAAAGTTTATTGTGGTGGTAAGAAGCGGGAACTTTTTCTTCACAAAAAATAATAGAGCTTCGTGTTGTCACTTTTTTTGTCTTGTCTAACGAAGGCCTATATTGATTAGATGATTTATTGGCATAGAATCTTATAGATACGTCGCAAATTGTTGCTATAATACATCCTCCGATCCCAAATAAGTGTCACAGCTCTACACTAAAGTTGAGGTAACCTTAGTTCAAAGTTGTGACACTTTTTGAATCGGAGGGAGTATATTTTAATGAGATTTGGTTCATTGTTTGGATTAATAATAGAATTTATTGTGTTTGATTATTGTACAGTTGCAAAATATTTATTAATTTTAAAGAGCATAATAGAGTAACTTATCATGCATGTTTGCATGTTGAAGTGAGCTTTTCCTATGCATTGTTGCATATTGGGGACAATCTTTTACGATGTATGTATGTTGCATGCTGAAGTGATATGCTTGCATGTCGAGAAATAGGTTAGTTGGGGCTATATACTTAGATATATAATATTTGATCTTTGATTCCCTGAAAATATGATCTTTGGTGGCAGATATTAACGAGTGCACAGACCTGGCAAAATACCCTTGCTCTGTACCTGGAACTTGCAAAAATTTGCCCGGTGGATTCAATTGTCGTTGCCCCAAGCATACCAAAGGCGACGCCCAGAATGGGACATGCGAGAGAAACCACACACTTGGTCTTGGAGAAAAATTCGGTATATGTACGTCCACACCTCTGACATATATGCCTACTATACAATCTAAGTACATAATATATCAACATTATGTGTACCAGATCACTATGTTTAATTTCATCTAAGATTCTTAGTGCCAAGTAATTCCATCTTTTACTAAATCAGAAAACACATGTTCTCTTTTGCCCCAAATGAGGAATGACGACTAACCTTGGCATCCTACTCTTCAGGAGTTTTTGGCGTTATTCTGGTTGGCCTTGTTTGTATCCTTGCAATAGAAATTATCCGTCACAAAAGGAGTATCAAGAGACAAGTGCTGATCCGACAGAGTGATGAATACTATCAACAGCACGGGTAACAGATACTATCAGAAATTATGAGAGTAGAGCGTAACATTGGGTTCACCGTCTATGCCAGAGAAGAGATCGAGGCAGCAACAAACGGGTTCGACAAGGAGAACATCATCGGGGAAGGAGGGCAGGGCACCGTGTACAAGGCGGTCCTCGACGTCGACGGCAAGGACACGCTTGTGGCGGTAAAAAGATGCAAGGAGGTCGATGAGAGCAGGACGAAGGACTTTGTGCAGGAGCTGGTGATACTCTGCCGTGTCGACCATCCCAACATCGTCAAGCTCCTGGGTTGCTGCCTGCAGTTCGAGGTGCCCATCCTGGTGTACGAGTACGTGAAGAACAAAACCCTGCAGGAGCTATTGTACAGCCAACCGACCTCGTGTCGCGCCACCCTGGGGACCCGTCTGAGGATCGCCGCGCAGTCCGCCGGAGCACTGGCGTACCTGCACTCGCTAGCGCACGCACCCGATACTCCACGGCGACGTGAAGCCCGCCAACATCCTTCTCAGCGACGGATGGGTCGCCAAGGTGTCTGACTTCGGCTGCTCCACCATCGATGAGAAGACCCAGGTGGTGGCCAGAGGCACAGCGGGCTACGTTGACCCAGAGTACCTGCTTGAGTACCAGCTCACCCACAAGAACGACGTCTACAGCTTTGGGGTCCTCCTTCTGGAGCTCGTAACCGGGAAGAAACCGCTGTCAAAGCAACGAAAGAGCCTCATGGTGATGGTTCAGGAGTCTATGGGAGATGGCACGCTCCATCAACTCTTTGACAAGGAAATAGTCGATGATGCTAGCATGGGAGTGGCCGTTCAGGCTGCGGAGCTAGCGACTCGATGCTTAGTTATGCCGGGAAACAGGAGACCGGCGATGAGGTGCGTTGCTGAGGAGCTCCAGCAATTGGCAGAGCAAGTGCAGCAGCCGTTGGTTTTGGAGTGTCATAGCCTCACTATCAAAGATATGGAGAGCTCCATGTCATCTGAGAGTGACACCACTGGGGTTTTCAGCCTTGAAAAGAAAGCCGCATTGAGCATAGAATTCGCTAGATGATATCATGAGAAACATATTAGAAACGGTTTGCTAGCTATACGATCCATGGTTGTATCACGTTTGTTGGTCGTTGCTATGAAATCCACCTTAAGCTTAGCACCAAATAATTTACGTATTTATAAGCACTCACTTGACCTCCTACGTATGTAAAGAAGGTTTGCAACAATTTTAATTTGCTACTGTTTAAATATATTGTCTGTCCTCTCTTCATCAGCTCATATGTTCAGATGACCTGCCAATAGGTCTCCAGTTCAAGACCATGTTAACATCGTATTAAAGAAAATGATTATGCGTCCTACATCAATCTCATGTCTAAGGACTAAAAGAAAGCCTAGATATGACGGCGGTGCTGAAACATATATTGTCTTTGTCTCTCCATTAATTGGGAGTTTTGGATGAGCTAGCTAGAGCGTGAATTCAATACTTGCACTATTTGGTGGTACATTAGCCAGAATTTTGTCAACTACAATAAGTACTCCTTCCGGACAGATTTACAAGGGACGATTCAAAATTTCCTTTGAACGAAAGTTTGTCTCATATCCCTGTATCTTTACTCTAATAATGATCTGGTGGGTGCAACCCATGAAATCTTATCTATAACCTACTATATACAATTAAAATCATAGTTCAGATTAACTATGCTTGCACCATATGAAAAGTGTGGCTCAGATTTAGGGAAGGATAATAGCAAAGACGATGTAAGCAAGAATTTCACAAAATCATTCCCTATATGATACAAAAATGTTCACCATATTTTGGCACAAATTGCCTACATGTTAATTGATGTCATGCAAGTGACCAGGGTTGGACGCAGCACTCTCATGTAAATAGCTTAATAGAGTACCGTCCCAACGAAGAGTAAGAGACGGTGGTTAATGCGAATGTTGAGTTGTTACAGTTCTCATATGAATTGGTTGTTTTGGTGTCTGAAAAGATTATAATTTGGACCGAGAAACAAGTAGTGAGGGGTAAAATGAAGTGGCTAAAACTAAGGTTGCTACTAAAGAACAAAAGTAAAGAACGTAAAAATAAACAACGGTTTTCCTGCAATGAAGAAGTTAGGTGTGGAGAAATTCAGTTCATGGTAAATATCAAATGTGCTAGTGCAATGATAACGTGTAATTACCTATTCATGTGATTCTACCTCTCGTGTTCGACGCTTGATAAGCGACACACCCTTGGTAGAAATCAAAGCAGATTTGTAAATAAATCCTAATCCTAAGAAAAAATAGAATATCAGGAAAATAATTTACAATTATGTGTTACAAATTTAATATTTGAAATATAATGAAAAGGAAATTGTTGTTGATAGATGTTGCTAACTAATTAACTTCCTTTTGATTTTTTTTCCTTTTGCTTTATGGGAATTGCCATTGGATGACAGGGCTTTTTTAAAAGCAAAGTCTACCTCAAGTTTATGTTGGTTGTATAGACAAAACAAAATAAAAGAAGTGTGGCAGGAAACTCACTGATCTCATTGCCGTTTGGTTCTCTACTGAAGAGAGCAACCTTTTCCCAAGGGTGAACGACATCAGCTTGCGTTGTTGAAGTCACTACTCAGCAGCCTCATGCAGGCATAAACATTAGTAACACATGATATTTTGTTGACAGAAAAAAAAAAGTAAATTCAAGCACATATGCATGCAATGAAATGTGATGGTTCGGAAAAGATCTTACTTCACAGCATCGATGGCACTGTGTGGACCTGCTGGTTTTAGCCTCGTGCAAGACATCATCACTGGGGATGTACTGAACCGAGAAACTCCACGACGTTTCTTCGCCCACCATTGAAGAACATCTATAATATCAAATAAATATAATATGAAAATATATTTCACGATGAATCTGATTATATTGATTTTGTATTGTGATTATTAATATATTTTTCATAAACATGGTCAAACTCTGACTTCAAAACAAATATAATACGTGAAGTAAAAAAGAAACAGTGGGAATACATACATGCGGTCGGCGTATGATGGCCAAAAACTACTCAACCCGCCTGCTCGGTGACTGCGGAAGTGCACTTGTCGGAAAGTAAGTACTTTATACGTCCCATAATATAAGAGCGTTTTTAACACTAGTGTAATGTCAAAAACGCTCTTATATTTTGGGATGGAGGGAGTAACTTCTAGTGAGTATGTGCAGATCTGCCTCAAGAAACCTCACCCTCTTCAACGACAGCAATCGCATCAACGCCAACTGCGTTAGCTAGAGTTCGACATCTGCCTCAGCCCAATGCCCACATCTACAATCAGCTCGGCGGAGACGCCGAATTCACAAAGACCGTATTTCATTTGAGGGGGCAATGAAGAATACCTATTACTATTAGTTGCCCTGCGCAATGACAGGGTCATACTTTTGCAATTTTCATTTTGATAGTATAAATATGAAATCTCTCATTAAAAAAGTACTTCCTACGATTCAGATTAATTGCTGTTGATTTAGTAAAAAAACAACTTTGTACCAAATCAGCAACAATTAATATGGATCTAATATTTCTAAAAAATCACATGAGCAAGGGTCTGGTCTCCGATCACACCACTGTGACTTGGACTGCTTGTTTACTTGACAACTGGATGATAAAAAGTCAAAAACAACCCAGATATGTTCTTTTTTCAATCGACCTAGTCAAGATTATCTCCAACATAGTATTATTAGTTAGAGTGTTTTGATCAATAAAAAAGTTAAAGTGTTTTGGCTAGCAATCATGTCAATGCCAACGGCGTTGGAGTTCGGCACCTACCTCATCCCTCTGCCCATGGCGACAACCAGGCCGACATAGACGCGGAACTCAAGAAGACAGTCTTTTCATTCGAGAGGGCAACGAAGATAACTTTTAGTTGCCATGAACAGCGACAATGCCATAGTTTTGCAGTTTTTCAGTTTGATAGTATCGGTCTGAAATTTCATAAAAATTACTCCCTCCGTAAAGAAATGTTTCTCTTATATTTCTTTACAGAGGGAGTAATAACTTTAAAAATAATCATGTAAGCAAGCACCTTGACTTGACTGCTTGTTTACTTGACAGCGGGATGCCAAAAGCAACCTAGTCAATATTTTTGAAATGGACAAAGTCAAGATTATCTCCAGTATAGTATTATTAGTTACGGTGTTTTGACTAGCAATCGCATCAGTCCCAACCGTTTGGGGTTCGTTACCTACCTCTGCCCCTGTACCCACAATGACAACCAGGCTGGCATAGACATCGAACTCATGAAGACCGTCTTTTCGTCCGATTTTAGTTGCCCTATGCAACCACAACATCATACATTTGCAATTTTTCAGTTATTAGTATAGATCATACTAGATCTGAAAATTCGCTCAAAAAGGTAATATGTTTTAAAAAAAATCATGTGAGCAAGCGTCTGGTCTCCGATCACGCCACCGTGATTTGGACTGCTTGTTTACTTGGCAGCTGGATGCCAAAAACAGCCTAGTCAAAATTTTCTTTTAACTGACCTAGTCAAGATTATCTCCAACATAGTATTATTAGTTAGGGTGTTTTGACTAGCAATCGCACCAACACCAACGGCGTTGATGCCACCTTGACTTAGATTGCTTGTTTACTTGAAGCGGTGCAAAAACAAACTAGTCGACAGTTTTTTTTTTCTTTTACATTGGCCAAATCAAGATTATTTCAACATAGTATTATAGCTAGGCTGCTATGGTATTATTGTTGGAAACACTGCCGGCCATATCACATCGATCCTGCATGGTGCCAAGTGGCAACTGAGCAAGTTGTCTTGTGCCAAGAACATTGGTTTCGTTTATATAACATCGGAGAGGGAGCTCTCTTTTGCCAAAAAGGACAAACCCAAGCTAGCTAGAT